ACTTCTAAAAATCATTAGAGCTGGAAACAATCCTGGCAGCTTTCTCATGGTCCTATTACTAACGATCGCCCCTCAAACAGGGTCAGCTTTCTCCTGGTACTATTACTAACGATCACCCTCCAACCAGGGTCAGCTTTATCATGGTCCTGTTACTAACGATCGTCCGTCAAACAGGGTCAGCTTTCTCCTGGTCCTATTACTAACGGTCGTCCCTCAAACAGGTTCAGCTTTCTCATGGTCCTGTTACTAACGATCGCCCCTCAAAAAGGTGTTTAATAGATGCCCATTAAAATAAATAGATTTCTTATACTCAAAAACAGGAATATTTGACGAACAGGAAATGTAGATACTGGGAACAAGCGGCATTAAACGGAGTCAGTTGTCATGTAAGAAATATTAGACAACGGGAGCACATGTCATTAAACAAGATCAATTTTAAGCCAAAATTAATTGTTATTCAGGAAAACCATAGACACTTGGAGTTCATGTCATTAAACAAGGTCAGTTGTTAAGTAGAAGGCATTTGACACAGGTAACACGTGTCATTAAACAGGGTCAGTTTTCATGCTAGAGTCAGTTGTCGTGAAGGAGACATAAGACACTGGGAACACGTGCTATTAAACAGGGTCAGTTGTCGTGCAGGAGACATACACACAGGGAACATATGCTATTAAACAGGGTCAGTTGTCATGAAGTAGACATAATACACTTGGAACACATGCCATTTAACAGGGTCAGTTGTCGTGCAGGAGACATAAGACACTGGGTACACGTGCTATTAAACAGGCTCAGTTGTCATGCAGAAGACATGAGACTCAGGTAATACATGCTACATGTATTAGCCAGGATTAATTGTCATACAGGAAACCAGACACTGGGAAGACATGTTATTAAACAGGGTCAGTTGTCATACAGGACACATTAGACACTGGGAACACATGTTATTATACAGAGTCAGTTGTCATGCATGAGATATTTAACCCTGGGAACACATGCTATTAAACAAGGTCAGTAGTCATACAGGAGACATTAGACACTGGGCACACATTCTATTTAACAGCGTCAGTTGTCATACAGGCGACATTAAGCACTTGGAACACATGCTTATAAACATAGTCAGTTGTCATACAGGGGACATTAGACACTTGGAACACATGTTATTAAACAGGGTCAGTTGCCATACATGAGACATAAGACACTGGGCACAAATGCTAATAAACAGATCTAGTCAGTTGTCATACAGGCGACTTCGGAGACATTAGACACTGGGAACACTCGATATTAAACAGGGTCAGTTGTTATATAAGATACAAAGAGCACTGTGAACACATGCTATTAAATAGGGTCAGTTGTCATGCAGGAGACATTCAACACTAGGAACACATGCTATTAAACAGTGTCAGATTTTTAACAGGAGACATTGGACACTTGGAACACACGTTATTCAACTGGGTCAGTTGTCATGTAAGAGACATTAGACACTGGGAAAACATGCTGTTTAACAGGGTCGGTTGTCATACAGATGACATGAGACTCTGGGAACACATGTTAGTATACATAGTCAGTTGTCATGTATGATATATTAAACGCTAGGAACACATAATATTAAACAATGTCAGTTGTCATACAGGAGACATTAGACACTGGGAACACATGTTATTAAACAGGGTCAGTTATCGTGCAGAAGACATCAGACACAGGGAACCAAGTTATTAAACAGGGTCAGTCGCCATACAGGAGACATTAGTCACTGGAAACACATGTTATTATACAGAATCAGTTGTCATGCATGAGATATTAAACGCTGGAAACACATGCTATTAAACATAGTCAGTTGTCATACAGACGACATTAGACACTGGGAACACTTTTTGTTAAACAGGGCCAGTCGCCATACAGGAGACATAAGATACTGGGAACACATGTTATTAAACAGGGTCAGTTATCGTGTAGGACACATTAGACACTGGGAACACATGTTATTATACAGAATCAGTTGGCATGCATGATATATTAAACGCTGGGAACACTTGCTATTAAACAAGGTCAGTTGTCATACAGGCGACTTCGGAGACATTAGAAACTGGGAACACATGCTATTAAATAGAGTCAGTTGTAATGCAGGAGACATTCAACACTAGGAACACACGTTTTTTAACTGGGTCAGTTGTCATGTAAGAGACATTAGACACTGGGAACACATTTTATTTAACAGGGTCGGTTGTCATAAGGAGACATAAGATACTGGGAACACATGTTATTAAACAGGGCCAGTCGCCATACAGAAGACATAAGATACTGGGAACCAAGTTATTAAACAGGGTCAGTTATCATACAGTAGACATAAGATACTGGGTACCAAGTTATTAAACAGGGTCAGTCGCCATACAGGAGACATAAGATACTGGGTACCAAGTTGTTAAACAGGGTCAGTCGCCATACAGGAGACATTAGACACTGGGAACCAAGTTGTTAAACAGGGTCAGTTATCATACAGGAGACATAAGATACTGCGTACCAAGTTGTTAAACAGGGTCATTTTGTCTCCAGGAGACATCAGACACTGGGAACACTTTTTATTTAAAAGGGCCAGTCGTCATACAGGAGACATAAGATACTGAGAACGCACGTTAATAAACAGGGTCACTTATTGTGCGGGAGACATAAAATACTGGGAACCAAGTTATTAAACAGGGTCAGTTGTCATACAGGACACATTAGACACTGTGAACACATGTTATACAGAATCAGTTGTCATGCATGAGATATCAAAAGCTGGGAACACATGCTATCAAACAAGGTCAGTTGGCATACAGGAGACATTAGACACTGGGCACACATGTTTATAAACATAGCCAGTTGTCGTACAGGCGACTTCGGAGACATTAGACACTGGGAACACTCGATATTAAACAGGGTCAGTTGTCACGTAAGAGACATTAGACACTGGGAACACATGTTATTAAACAGGGCCAGTCGCCATACAGGAGACATTAGACAAGGGGAACACATGTTATTGAACATTGTCAGTTATCGTGCAGGAGACATAAGATACTGGGAACCAAGTTATTAAACAGTGTCGGTTTTCATACAGAAGACATTAGACACTGTGAACACATGCATTTTTAACAGTGCGATTGTCATACAGAAGACATTAGACACCTGGAACACATGTTATTATACAGAGTCAGTTGTCATACAGGAGACATTAGACACTGAGCACACATGCTAATAAACAGAGTCAGTTGTCATACAGGCGACATCGGATACATTAGACACTGGGAACACTTGATATTAACCAGGGTCATTTGTCATACAAGATTCATTAGGCACTGTGAACACATGTTATTAAGCAGGGGCAGTTGTCATGCTGGAGACATTCAATACTTGGAACACTTGCTATTAAACAGTGTCAGTTTTCTAACAAGAGACATTGGACACTTGGAACACACGTTATTTACCAGGGTCAGTTGTCATGTAAGAGACATTTGACACTGGGAACACATGCTGTTTAACAGGACCGGTTGTCATACAAAAGACATAAGACACTGGGAACACATGCTATTATGCATGGACAGTTGGTCTACAGGAGACATCAGACACAGGAAACACTTTTTATTAAACAGGGCCATTCGCCATACAGGAGATATTGGACACTGGGAACACATGTTATTAAACAGGGTCAGTTATCGTGCAGGAAACATAAGATACTGGTAACCAAGTTAATAAACAGGGTCAGTTGTCATACAGGACACATTAGACACTGGGAACACATGTCATTAAACAGGGTCAGTTATCGTGCAGGAGACATAAGATACTGGGAAACAAGTTTTTAAATAGGGTCAGTTGGTCTACAGGAAACATCAGACACTGGGAACATATGTTATTAAACAGGGTCAGTTTTCTAAGAGGAGACATTGGACACTTGGAACACACGTTATTTAACTGGGTCAGTTGACATGTAAGAGACATTAGACACTGGGAACACATGCTATTTAACAGGGTCGGTTGTCATACAAAAGACATAAGACACTGGGAACACCTTTTATTAAACAGGGTCAGTTGTCATACAGGACACATTAGACACTGGGAACACATGTCATTAAACAGGGGCAGTTATCGTGCAGGAGACATAAGATACTGGGAAACAAGTTTTTAAATAGGGTCAGTTGGTCTACAGGAAACATCAGACACTGGAAACGCTTTTTATTTAACAGGGCCAGTCGCCATACAGGAGATATTGGACACTGGGAACACGTGTTATTAAACAGGGTCAGTTATCGTGCAGGAAACATAAAATACTGGGAACCAAGTTATTAAACAGGGTCGGTTTTCATACAGGACATATTAGACACTGGGAACACATGTTATTATACAGAGTCAGTTGTCATGCATGAGATATTAAACTCTGGGAACACATGCTATTAAACAAGGTCAGTTGCCATACAGGAGACATTAGACACTGGGGACACACGTTATTTAACAGGGTCAGTTGTCATGCAAAAGACATAAACACTTGGAACACGTGCTATTAACCAGGGTCTGTTATCATGCAGAAAGCAGTAATTGGGATTTATTGTGATATGGTCAATATTCTGTGTACCAACGATATGGAAGGACTAATGATGAGTGATGCACGATGAATGACTACGCCTTGTCAAGTCTGTCTTAGGGAGTGTAGCTCCAGCATGATAGACTCCTTGTTACGGACTGGTACTGACCTTACCTGTTACATAAAGTCTAAGCAAATGAAAATCACATGCTTCATAGATCGTTGTCAGTTTTAATTAAAGTTAAGTAAAATAGTAGCAAGCATTATCTAATGCATCATCGTTTCTGTCGATGGAGCGTTAAAATATTACATTGAATTATGTATATCTTAAAATATTTTAATTTAATATGAAAGTATCCTGTGCTTTGCTGCATAAATCCCGTTGGTACATGTATTATTTATTTCATTCTTATAACCTAAGATTTTGTATGTATTCTATTTTAAATAGGTTCGAATTTCTTTATGCTTCCCCAACCGATGACGGCTTTAGAGGCATATACCGCCTGCAAAGAAAATAACAGCATCTTGGCGTTACCTGGAAAAGACGATATTGAGACATTGGATACTGTCTTGAACAACACTGAAAGTCTTGGAGCTTGGACGGGGGAGTATGTCGACTTTGCTCCTTGGGCGTTTGCTAAAGGTAAGTTGGTATCCTAAGATGTATTATGTAATTTCTGGATTATTTGGAAGACTTCCTGTGTTATTATCTTGCAACATGCTAAAGAAAGAGGTACATTTACAATGCAAAGATCGATCACATTAATTTACACATTGATTAAAATGTACTCTGCACGCATTTAATTCACTGCAATAAGGGAAACGATAGCTGTTATAAGCTCTTTGATTTCTTGGATTGGGTCAAATCGTTTCTGAATTCCCTGTCCTTATACGACATGGTGAGAACAACTAAGGTTCATTACATTATCTGCAGTGTTCTGTCGGTTTTTGACAAGAGTAGGCATTTCAGAACTAGTTAACAGTTTTCATAAAACACATCCAAAAATAAAGCACAATATGGAATTAATTATCTTCACAGATGTGATTTAGGCTGTAAAAAATCAAATTGGCCCTACATGTATGTTGTGATGTTCATTTACGGATCCCCGTGCAACTTCCAAAACGTATCTGAAAAAAGGGATATGGTGGTTAGATATTTAACATATAACATTGTGTGTTAGACCATTTAAAGTTCAAATAATGTTTCTTGTTCATAAGGGCAGTAAACCTTTAAACATAAACGCCTATTGGTAACATGTAAGTACTTATTGTTGTCAAATCAGTGCTTAATGCTTAATAACAAACGGTGGTACATGTACTAAGTGTGTGCTTTTTTATTTAACTCGCTCATATATATTTGTATGTAATAAGGGGTGTTTCTACTGTATTCAAATTTATGAAAAAGAACTATTATCTCACTTCAAATTTGTCAAAATTTTAATACAAATAGTCTTTTCCTTTCCATCCTGATATACTTTAACTACGTATATGTGTGTCGATATTTATTTATTTTTTATCTTTTTTATTGAATAAAAATGATTGTTTTTTCAACATATCAATTTATAGACATTTCTTATTGAGAAATATAATGCAGTTGAGCAAATGATAATTTCCTATTTCATCAAATAACCTTCAACAATTTAAAGGTATTATTTATTTTTTTGAATTGACAATCAAAGCGTCAATTATTCATTTTAATGTTTTCTGTACACACATGTTGCAGGTTGTTATACAATCTTCAATACATCGAGACACAACACATCTTACAGTGGTTCGACTTGTTTTCAGTCCTGTGACAAGAATCTTAAGGTAGTTTTTGTACGGGTAAGTTTCTATTACATATCGTGGATATGCATTGTTTAATACTAGCTTTAATTTTGATCACCTGTTGTAGCTTAACGTCGTAAAGGACCATGTTAAGTATGGGGCCTTTTCTGCCCCCCAATTGTCTCCCTGAAATAAACCAGTTCAAAATGGCCAGTGCGCTGTACATATCATCCTAAAACCGCTACCTTTAACAAAATTCCTTTTGATGAGCTTCGTAAGTAAAGAGCGCACTCGTGCTCCAGCAAAACACTTTACACAATTTGTATTTTATCAGAATACAGCATCCCTGAAATAATAGATCTGATATAAGAATTCATAATGACGTCGTCACGTACACTTCATTGCAATAGTCCCTCCAAATGTGGAGGCACGGTGGTAGTCTAGTGGTTGAACGCTGGGGTTGTGACCGAAGGGTTGCGGGTTCGAGTCACGTCACGGCAAAGTGTTGTAGTTTTGAACAAGATACTCAACTCCGCTTGTTCCAGTCTACTCAGCTGTAAATGAGTACATCTGTACGTGGTTGGGAAGTGCTAGAATTGTTGAATGCTAGCTGTGGGTGTCGAAATGGCCGCACTACGGCTGTATTCCTCCCCAGGGAATTGAGAAAAATGTTGGCTTGTTGCAAAGTCCCCGTAACCACGGATCATAATTTGTGAACTACTATGAGACGCCCTATGACCTAGGTTGTGATAAAGCGGTATATAAGAACTTCGAATTATTATTATTATTTATTATCAAATAGATTACAATTATGAAAGTTCACAAATTTTGGTCAAACCACATTTCAGACATGGTTTCCTCTTCTTTTTATCTTATGTCTCATTCATGAGTCTTTAAAGGATTAAATAGTCACACTGTGTATTAGTAATGCGGATTTTTGTTTTTCAATTGAATTATTAAATAGTTTAAAAATTGTTCCCAAATATTATATTTTGGTGAATATTTTGTCACTTCCTTTTAATTTCCTGCATGTCTATCATTTTCAAAAATGACGTACGAGATATTTACAAGTTTGTGCTGACGTTTACTCGCCATGGTCAAATGCTGACATTACTGCAATTAATCACATTGTCTAGACTTGGATGAGGATTTATTTTATTTATTGGATTTATGTCCTGGTAATGAATTGTCGTTTTACAATATGGAAACAAAGACAATGTTTACAGATTTCCATTGTTTACTTTTTATATAAATTGCTTTGTTTGTCCAGAATGTTACACAGCAAGTGTAGACATGGTTATATTAAGAGTTTTACTAATTTTTTTTATTAGGAATCCGAGTGCATTTGTGATATCAGCCGGGTGGATACAACGTTAACGTCACTATACAACTTGTGTAACAAACCCTGTAGCAGAGACGGAGGTGCATGTGGTGGTGTTGGAAGATTATATACAGAATATCTTGGATGTATGTATTATTCTTATGTTTGTATTTTTTAATGTTTGTATTTCATGATCGCCTCAAAAATTATATACATATAGAATAGCTAAGACAGCTTTCGCAAATCCGGTAGAAACGGTCGAGATGGCACTGAAAATACTCCATGATAAACGAATACAGTCGAACTGTCAGTGAGCCGACGTAATAGGCAGAGCATTTTACCAAGATATAAAAACACAGAATAACAAAGACTTATATTATTTAATATGAAATTCAAATCTTGAAAGAAAAAAAAAATATTAATCAACAATAAAAGCGGAGTTGTCCGCAGTACCAATCCAAAAAGTTAACGAGCAAAAACATTAAATCCGGATATGAAGTGGTAACTGTCAAATGTTGATAATGAAATTACTTGAGTTTTAAATATTTGGTGAGCGGTGAAACTATTTGTACAACAGTGAGATATAGATATAGCAATAATCCTACATGATCGTTTCTTGTGTCAGCATCCGAGACTGGGAGTCACGTGATATCGAAAATATCGGCAGACATAAATTATCATTGCTGCAAAACCTAAGATAATTGCATATACATATACCAATAACCCGTCTTTGTGCTCGGTAAAATATAAATATATATGGGCCCAGAAGACAGAGTTAATTGGGCTTTTGCCAATGTTGAAAGTCATCAGGCAGCTGATTTTTCATTCTGATGTAATAAGAGCGTAGCTTGGCGCCCGAGCGAAGCTCTTTAATGGTAACACATGCGTGCGTAAACAGAAGTGCTTCCCCTTGCTACACATTGCCTTTAAATTTTTTCTTCCGGAAGTAGACGTCCAGTGGGGAAACAGGAAGTGTATCCTTGAAGCAAAGACAATTGTGTTTCAACTCATACATAAACATCTTCATATAGTGAAAACAATACCCATGTTTTATTATTTGTCTATTTAGGTAAAAACTACAGTGTAAAATACATTCTGAGTGAAAACAATCGATCACATAAATTTTGATACTAGCAGGCCTGAAACGTCGTTCAGAGATTATCATACTATTACGTCACAAGCACGTCACACTCCATCGGCCTTCATTTCCGGAAGGATGAAAAATAACCGGAAAATCTTGGAACTGATGTTCGTTGCATTTATCTCTTTGTCGGTGCTTCATGACTTTTTAATTTCAGTTTTTGCCACAGGCACAAAAAGTAAAAACGGGGATGTTTTCTGAAGATCCTTTTTGTCATCAACCATGTTCTGCTAATATTTCTACCGGGAGATATTTTCAAAAAGAGCCGCATTTAACCAATAGGTCAACGTGTACATCTATTTTTCATCGTCTAAAATTTCATCACCTTTTGATTTCGATTTGTTGAGAATATGAACGAAATAATTAACATTTTTGAAAGTCTGGTTATAGTGCACATAATTTATGTATGCATCACCACTTATAAAAGAAACAATGGATAATTCATTTATATCGAAATCAACAATACTTGTCCAGACAACGAACCCGAGTTCAACGCCATTTTTCAGCAACGTATCACTTTTTCACAACGCATGCCGATTTATAACTAGTTACAGACAGAAACTTTTTTTTTTTCTTTCACAAGTTTTATTGATATATAAAACAACAACAACAAAAACGTCCACTCACTCACAAACATTGTGATGCCATTACCTCAATCATCATCATCATCATCATCATCATCATCATCAACAACAACATAGTCATCATCATCACCATCATCATCATCATCTCATATACATTGTGATGCCATTACCTCCATCATTCTCATCATCCTCATCATCATCATCATCATCATTCATCATCAACATCATCATCTTCCATTCATTCATGTATGATGAAATGATATCATATATTAAGAGTACATGCATCTTTTCAGTTATTTTATTTTTGAGCTCAAGCTTATGAATGTATGAATAAATGAAATAGAAGAAAATTATTGATTTTGTAATTCATTACAAAGCCCAGGAGACAGCTATCAGAATATTATTTTTTACAAAACAAGAAGTTTTTCCCATTTTTTCCATTCCTTTTCAAACTTCTCTCTATAAGTTTCTCCTTTGCTATTTGCTATACATCTTTGTATATTATGGTAGTCTTTTATTGTGTTAACCAATGCATTTATATTTAAGGAGCTATGAAGACAACGCATTTTATATACATATTGTTTAATTATAATGAGTATCTCATTATCAATTCTACCATTCACATGTTGTGTAAGAAATCCAAATAAGTAAGATTCTTTATTAAAATCAAAAGGAATAATGAGTGCATCCAAAAGAGTTTCAAAACTAATAAGAAGATTCTGAGTCTCTTGACATTCCCATAAAATATGGGTAATAGTTTCAATCTCAGAATTGCAAAGTGTACACATAGGAGATACAACTATTCGAGTTTTAAAAAGGAAAGAATTTGTTGTCAGAATATGGTGATTTATTCTATACTGAAAACCACTGAAATTTTGTATTAGTAGTTATAACAAAGGGAAGCTTGAAAATCTGATGCCAAGAAAAGTTACTAAAATCAAAGACTCTATTCCATTTCTTCTGTCCTGATGGAACGATGTTATTTTTTACCAGGATACTATAAAAATGTTTGGAACCTTTAGACTTTTTAAAGAACGGTTCTAAGTGTACAGGAATAAAAGGACAAAACAATCTTAATTTAGGAAAATCTGGATTAGAGTTGAAATGTTTTACAGCAGAAAGAACACTGTGATATTGGAGAAAATTAGTCTGTATTTGATAAGTTTGAGTGAATTCTTGAACTGTATAAAAGGAACCAGAATTATAGTCTTTAATCAGATCATTTATATTAATAACTCCTTTTTTATACCAATCCTTAATAAAATTTGACCTTCTATCAATAATAATTTTGTCATTAAACCATAAGGGGGTCTTCAAGTATACCTCATTTTTGTTAATTTTAATTTCATTTGCATGATACAAGTTTTTACAAGCTTTCAAAACATCAGTCCAGAACTTAATTTTACATTTTTTTTCACATAGCTTTATATAATCTGAACCACAAATTGCCAACATGTCTATATTAACATATGTTTTTAAAATTGCTTGCCATTTAGATGTACATTGAAATATTCTTCTAATCCAACCTAATTTGAGTGAGTCTATAAAAGTTTTGATGTTGATCATGTTTAACCCACCATTAATGAAGTCTTGAATAACAACTTCTCTTTTTACTTTATCCACTTTACTGTTCCATAAGAACTCATAAAGTATAGAATTCAGTTTACAAAGAAACTTTTCCTCTGGATTTGGCAGCGAGATAAATAAATGATTAAATTGTGAAACCAAAATTGATTTTATTATGTTTATTTTACCAATTGGTGTTAATATTCTCCTTTTCCATGATCTGATAAGTGATTTAAGTTTTGTTAGTTTTTTTTTATCAAAGTTCAGTTTAGGTATCTCATGTAAATTAACGTGAAATTCAATGCCAAGAAGTGTGATGTTTTCCCTACTCCATTGTAAGTCAAGTTCTGGAAGGAATTTATCTGAGCTAAAAAAAATATTGCCAATCCAAACCACTTGAGTTTTTGAAATATTCATTTTTAATCCTGATATACTTGCATAGAAATTAAGTTCAGTAATAACTACCTGCAGTGATCTTTCTGTACCATCAAGCGCAGTGTCATCCGCATATTGGTATAGAAGTACAGGACAGTTATCAACATTAATACCCTTAATTTTATTATTGTTTCTTAGTTTTATAGCTAAAATTTCAGCACACAGAATAAAAATATAAGGAGCAATCGGGTCCCCTTGACGACCGCCCCTTTTAACTTGAAAAAATGAAGACAGATTCCCTCCCTGATTAATTACAGCACTAGCATTATTATGTAATGTTTTAACCCAGTTTATTATACTATTTCCAAAACCAAAAAAAAACATAATAATTTCTCAATAAATGCCCAGGACACCGAATCAAATGCTCTTTCGAAATCAATCATTAAAAACATACCTGGAATATCATTTTCCTCTGCATATTGCATTACATCATATATCAGTCTAGTGTTTTCCCCTATATAACGACCCTCTAAAAACCCTGTCTGATCTTTATGATTTTTTTTATCCAAAACTGTTTTAATTCTGTATGCTATTGTACTAGAAGCTATTTTATAAACAACATTTAGTAGTGTGATAGGCCTCCAATTTTTTCATAAAATGTCGAGGTTTATCCCCCTTTGGAATGCATGAAATAATGCCTTGACGTTGTGAGATTGATAGATTAGCTTTTTTATAGCCTAGATTTATAGATCGAACAACAAAGTCACTTAAATATTTCCAAAAACACTTATAAAATTCAACCGTAAAGCCATCTATGCCTGGACTTTTATTATTTTTCATACGTCTTAACGTTTTGCCAGCTTCCTCCAATGAGATTAGGCCATCCAACTTTTCAGAATCATGTTTACTAATTTTAATTACATTATAAGGTTCCAAAAATTCATTTAAATTTACATCTGCTATGTTATTATCAGAATCATACATCTTTTCATAAAATTTCTGAACTTCTTTCAAGATGTCTGCCTGACTTGTATTTGTTTTCCCATTATCTAATTGTAATTTAGGTATAACTATAGAGGTAAAATTTCTACTTTCCAGACTGAAAAAATAGCTTGTAGGCTTCTCCCCCTCTTCTATCCATTGAGCACGAGATCTCACTATACTACCTTTAATTTTATGTTCCCTAATTTCCTGTAATTCTTTTTTTTTTTACTTCTAAATCAACAATATCTATTTCATCTTGTTCTTCAAATGCCTTAATTGTCTTCTTAAGATTGTCTTCTCTACCATTTTTTTTTTCCTAAAGGATGAATAAGATATACTTTTACCTCTAATTTGCAAAAGTAATGTTTCAAGAAATAATTGATCGTCTATCATAAACTCAATCACAGCATCTGAAATGTTATTTAAATTATTTAAATTATAAACTGGAGGACAGTATTGCGCTTTTGCTCACTGATACAAGTTTTAACCATATTTAAGTACTCTAGTTCCTGTAATAGACTATTATTAAATGTCCATACTCCTTTACCAGGTATAAATTCATTAAGTTTCAAAGATATTGTAGGGAAAAAATGGTCAGATCTATAACCAAATTCTATTTTGGATTTTTCAGTACTAGAAATAAAGTTTTCAGATATTAAAAAAGTCTAAGCGAGCTTGTTTAAGTGGGCTACTTTTTCTCCATGTGTATCTTCTTAAGTCTTCATTTTGTTCTCTAAAAATATCTACTAGTGAAAAACTATCTATGATTTCC